AGCTAAGGAAGACCCTAAGGAGTCTCATTCCTCCCAGCTGGGCAGCCAGTACTTTCTTGAAGGAGGTATTTGAGCAGCACTTTTCTAAGTCTACCACCTCACTCAGCCCATTGTACAAAAGGGTATTATTGCCTTAGACCATGAAAATCTCCCCTTGGACCAAACAAGGGCATACACTGAAATATTGGTTTGGCCAGTGTCAAGAAAGAGAGGTTGCTCTAGATCAGTATTTTTCAACCTTTTTAAAAAACTAAAATTGCCCATTCCCCAACCCCAGGAGCATTTTTAGACATTTTTTCCTAATTGTTTTCCCACCATGAAAATTTAATATCAGAGTTATACTATTATCGACATAAGAAACATCCAAACCTGTAGAGAATTTTTATAAGCATTTATTTGAGCCAAACTGATGACATTGCCAGGAAGCAAGATCTCAAATGCTCTGGAGAATGACAGTTTTATGCATTTGAAATTAAGAAGGGAACGTAAGGAAGATTACATGATGGTGGGAGAGATCAATGTGGGGATTGGATTATAGGATAGTTAAGATTATGTGCTCACTTGAGGGTGGTTTCAGACCCCGGGGTCTGAAAAAGAGGCATTTTAAAGGTGTGTTCATCTAGATGCACAAGAACAATGGACAGGGCTTGCTGAAGTAAAAGATAAACATTTTCCTCATCAAGTTATAGGCCTGGGCATAGCTATCTACCATGAACTGCCCAGTTAGGAATTTATGATCACATCAGCCTGTGAGGTTAATTTTGGTTAAATTTATTATAATAAATATAACTGTGTGTATATGTTTATGTACTATATGCTTATCTGTGCTTTGTGTATAAAAAAAGTTAAATTTTTTTCATTCCCCAAGAACCAATTTTTACTTCCTTGGAGACAATATCACCCTTCTTAAGAATGCATGTTCTAGATTAAAAGAGACTCAAGGGCTATAACAACCAAATATAATGTATGGCCCAGGGTTGGATCCTGGGTTGGATAAACCAGCTAAAATGGGAATTTAGGGGATATGTGGGAACTTCTAATATGGACCATATACTTTTGTTAGGTGTGACAGTAATATTTTGGATGTGTAGGAAAACATTATTATCCTATATAATAAAAGGCTAATATGCAAATAGACTGGTCACTATGACTCGCACTGACCATCAGGGGCTGCCCCCTGGTGGTCAGTGCGCTCGCATAGGGAAACACCCCTCAGCCAGAAGCCAGGCTCACAGCTGGTGAGCGCAGCAGCGGTGGCGGGAGCCTCTCCCGCCTCCTTGGCAGGGCTAAGGATGTCCAACTGATGGCTTAGGCCTGCTCCCTGAGGGAAGCGGGCCTAAGCCGTCAGTTGGACATCCCCCAAGGGCTCCCGGACTGCGAGAGGGTGCAGGCTGGGCTGAGGGAAACCCCCTCCCCGAGTGCATAAATTTTGTGCACCGGGCCTCTAGTATATATATATACTATATAGTATATATATATATATATATATATAAAAGGCTAATATGCTAATGGCCATCTGCCCGGTAGCTATGACACGCACTGACCATCAGGGAGCAGATGCTCAACACAGGAACTGACGAGCTGCAGTGACTTGGCAGCGGTGGTTCTTGGATGACGCACCCCAAAACCAGAGAGGAGGGAGCCTGATTCCTTGCGGGGCCATGTGATTCCACCTTCAGCTGTGGGTTATATTGTTAATAGGACACTGTTGACCCAGAATCTGGTTTACTGCACACTTGCGTTTGCATTCCACACCCTGTATGACAGCAACTTTGCAGAGTGCCCTGTCACACTCAGGACCCCTCAGGGGATGTCAGAGAGCTGGTTTTGGTCCCATCCCTGCAGGCCAGGCCAAGGGACCCCGCCTGCCAAAGGGACCCCGCACACTCTGCAGACACCCTTTGAGCCACAGTGCCACCCCAGATGTGGTCAGCCGGGGAGGGACAAAAGGAGGTTGGCTCCAGGGCGTGTCTGGCCCATCTTTCCCAGTCCTGCCCTGCCAGCCACCTTCTAATTAATTTCCTTTCAATGTGCATGAATCCATGCACCGGGTCACTAGTTTTTTATAAATGCGTATGGTAGTAAAAAACAAGAAAGAAATATTGGCTTCTTGAAGACACCTGTATTTGTTATTAATCAAGTTCCCTGACATGCATGGGACTTCCCTCCTTGCTGATCTTATACATATTTCTGTTACCAGCAAAGTTTGGCATCAGAAGTGGAATAATTGCCTTTGTGGATTTGGAATAGCTGAGTATTGTAAGTTAGTGATGCTGGTTCTCTTAAAGTGAACTGAAATGTCCTGTGAGAAAAGCAATCTTTTTGCAAAACACTGAATAAAACTGGTTTATAAAACTTTTCCATGCTTTCTTTAAGATTTGGGTGTTTTAGGCATTAGCAAGTTAAAACCTATTTTATCAAATAGTGTCATGAAATATTTATCCCAATTATCATCCATCATCATCTTATCTTATGACGAAAACTTTTAGATGACAACATAACATATGTGAGGAGTTACAGAGGTTTAAAAAATTCTTTTGGGGGTTATGTAAGCAACATGCTTAAAGATTCCTGGGCTAAAATCATACATTTCCAGGAAAGGAGGCCCTCTCTTTTGCATCCTTCCACTCTCTTTCCTTCCCAGGAGCCAGTCGCTAGTTATAGACACACAACCTACCTGGTCAGGACTCCAGGCAAAATGGCAGCCCTTTGCTTTTGTCAGTGAGAACCATTTTCATTTCAATAACATTTCTCTCAGTGGTTGATTTCCATGGTGACACAACTCTACTACGTAAGCACATCCGCAGAACTCAAGCAGCTCACCTAAAGCTGTGACTGCTTCCTGCAACTTTTCTCACTGTGGTTTACAAACCTCACTCTCAGTGTTCACAGACCCCCTTCCCGTTTGCTGCTGAGTGTATGAAAAGTCATTCCAAATGGCAAAGAGATGACTCTTGTTCTTTTCAATCAGCGTTACGCTGAACAGTCAAATGTGAAGGGCTGTACATTTCCTCAGGCAGGATGAACCATGGGCATGCTGCTTTCTGAAGGGTGTCTAAATCATCTCACACATTTAAACAAAAGCCCGCCCATGAGGCCCGAGCATCTGGCAGAATACACGTTCTCCCAGATCTCCCGGGATTCTGAGCTTCTCAAGGCACGCCGTGACCCACCTTTCCGGGTTCCTCTCCTACTTAATTTGCTGGCGTGTCTCCCTGTCAGGTCTCGCATATAATTCTCCTTACTGCTGACTTTGATTGTCTAGTCTTGGCCTAAGCTTGGAAAATTCCAAAGAGGAATGCTCCACCAGTTTGCAGGCCAAAAGTAAAATTCTAACAAGATCTGTTTATTGCTCACAGAGCCTGCGATTCCTAGAAGATGATTACAATCAGCTGTTGGGGTTTAGACGGGCTACACCCCCCAAATCTCAAGCCCTCACCCATCTCTTAACTCCAACTGTTCACTGAGCATGGTCCTTGTGAAGACCCATTGTGATGTCAAACTCAAGCTGTCTGGGATAGAACTGCCATTCTTCCCTTTAATGCTTCCTGTCTGGTTGCCCTGTGAGACCAAACTTCCTGTAGTGCTGTTTTGATCTTGTCACCTCTTGTGCAGAAGCCTTCAGTGGTTCACATCGTCTGCAACATGAAATACAAATTCTTTTCCTCATATTCTAGGGCCTGTTACTCAGGTTAGACAGAGCCCAAACAAGCTTTCTATCTCATGCTACAGATTTTTTGGTCAAATGTTCCCACATTCTGGAATGTTCTGTCTACTTTTTTCCACTTGTTTTTCCTACAAATATTTATATTGCTCTTCAAATTTAACCCAGATAGCTGCATGTGGCTTTTCCCTCATTTCCTGGAAGTCTGCTCAAATGTCACATCTTGCTGCCACTCCCCCCCACTTCCTATCCCCATTCCCTGCTTTATTTTACTTCGAGGCACTTATCACCATATATTATTTATTCATGTATTGTCCATAGGCCTCCCTGGGGGGCAGGGATTTTGTTAATGTTGTTCATTGTTGTATCCTCACCAACTAGAAGGGGGCCTGGCACAGAACAGGCAGACAATCAGTACTTATGAATTAAGTGAGTGGATGAAGGAACTCTGAGAATATTTAAGGGCATTTAGCATGTGGCTGGCACTCTCCTGGGTCCTATAGAGATGGATATAAACGAAAATGGGGTTCTTCTATTTTATTTATTTGTTTGTTTATTTATTTTTAAATATGTTTTTATTGATTTCAGAGAGAGGAAGGGACAGAGAGAGAGAGATAGAAACAACAGTGATGAAAGAGAATCATTGATCGGTTGCCTCTTGCACGCCCCCTACTGGGGATCAAGCCACAACCTGGACATGTGCCCTGACCGGGAATTGAACTGTGACTGCCTGGTTCATGGGTCAACTCTCAACCAATGAGCCACACTAGTCAGGCTATTTTATTTTATTTTTAAAAAATACTTGCCCAAGGATAGTTTTTTTCCCCCCCATTGACTTTAGAGAGAGGAAAGGTAGGGGGAGAGAGAGATATATGGATGTGAGAGAGAAACATTGATTGGTTGCTTCCCATATGTGCCTGCACCAGGGATCAAACCCACAACCTACGTAGGTGCCCAGACGAGGAATTGAACCTACAACCTTGAGCCACTCAGCTGGGCCAAAGGGAGTTCTTTTAGAAATCCACAATCTTGTGGGGGTAGGAAATGAGAATTGCAAAAATGAAACTGAGGCAGGATAGTAAGAAGCCAGGAAAATTCCTTGACAAGTAGAATGGGGAAACTGAGACAGCTGATTCAAACTCTGGCCTCATCCAGCTCCTTGACTCACCTGCCTCCTTCTCTCTGTACAAACCACTCCTTTAAGCATTAAGCCCTCAGGACAACGAGGTCTGATCAGCATCAAATAATCGTAGGAACAAAGTTTCGGGATTGTTGACCACAGAGACAGAGTTTTGGTCAAAATAGAGATAACATCTAGGCCTCATTTGTGTTTCAGCTCCAGGCTCAGAAAAGCAGAAAAACCAGATGAAGCCACACCATTGCTGACATCAGGACCAGATGCACTGATCAGCTACCTGGTAACCTAGTGCTGACCAATTAATAGAGACCATGACCCTGATTCTATGCCCTTATTTTTATGAATCAGCATATTAAAGAACACACCTAGAAAGCTGATGAATATTCTATTGAGATCCTCCCTTGAGGCCTCCCCTAAAATCCATGTCTTTAGAAAATGGATAAAAACTTTTAAGACAAAGGACCCAGTGCATGCTTGGTCTCTAGAGCACACCCACATCACCTTTGCTTTCTTTCTCCTAAGCTCAAAAGGTTCCCACGAGGTTTGCAACCAGGGGAGCAGTGGGCAGTGGCAGCTCATCCTGGTCTAACCCCCTAAACCTGTCTCCAAGGGGCCTTCTTTTGCCTTTGTAACTTGTTTCCTGAGTCCACACAACCCAGCTGGCTCACTTCTGCCTCTGACTTTCTTTCTAAAAGGCCAAGGCAGTTCTCTAAACAGCTCTCTCGAAACTTCTCTTTGGGTGAACTTTTGCTTTGCAAGCTAAATGAAGTTTCTTTGCGCTAGAGTTCTTGGCTCTGAATTCTTTCTTTGCCAAACTCAAGAACCGAAAGCCGAAATCACCAGTAACAAAACAAAGTTGAAGTGGAGCATGGTGTAGGAAAGAGAAAGGAATTAACATAGAACTCCTATGTGTAAGGTGCACATATGTATCTGGTCTCATTTAAGCCTCACAGTGATGCAATCTGGTAGGTTTTATTATTTCCAATTTTGAAGATAAGGATACTGAAACTCAGGAGAGTTAAGTAATTTTTCCCAAAGTTTTACGCTAATAGGTGGTTAAAATATAATAAGAAGGGATTTACACCCACATCTTCTCATGCAAATATGAGTACACTTTGCATTATACTAGATTGCCTCTCAAGTCATTAGGGAGCAGATATACTTAGTTTAACCTGAGATGGCATCTGGAGTATGTGCTATTTGAGTGATTAATGAGAAGTGCATCAAAGCAGATAAGCAATGGCAAGATAGTCATAAACTTTCCACCTCACTACATCCCATGGGCCTTCCCCTCTGACCTTTTATTGTCTTCTGTAATATTCATTCATTCAGTAAATATTTATTAAATACTTGCTATGTGCCAAGCAATGTTCTATACCCTGGTACTATAGTAGTGAATAAAACAAAGTCCCTATCTCCAAGGAGATTTCATTCTCTAAATATTTTATGTGACATTGCTAGAAAACAGAATATTTCAAATTTAGAGAGCTCAGATTAAAGTTATGGCTTCATCATAGTCTAGCTGAGGACTTTGGAGAAGGAGCACATTTAAACTTTCTGAACCTCAATTTCTATATTTGGAATAGGAATAACTACCCATCTCACAAAATATGATATTGTAAGGCCCAAATAAGATGAAAATAGTTTGAACCATGAAGCACTAGATATTGTGTTTTATTAAATCTAACATGCTATTGATTTTAAGAAACACTATTATTTTATGTTCCATTGAGAAAAAAATTCCACCAATTATGATATGCCATTGATTATAAAGCCCATTCCGAATTCAGAATGCCAAAATGTGGAAAGAAATTATGCATCTTAGAATAGTTCAAATATGGTATAAGAGAGCTATTATTATCATTCTGTATGGTGCATGGCATATGGTACATGTTCAGAGAGGAATGGATTTAGCAAGATACATTAAAGTAGATCAATAAGATAAGTGATAGAATATTTCTTATAGATATTCAAGGGTCTATCTATCTTTGGATACAATTATTTTTTCCAATGTTTCACTATAAGAATTTTTAAATATCTAGAAAAGATGAAATAATTTTATAGTTAACACCCATATACCCACCATCTGGATTCCATAGTTAACCTTTTCCTGTCTTTTCATTATTAGACAGTTATATAAATTATTTTTTTATATATTTCAAAGTAAATTGCAAATATCTATACACTTTACCCCTATACATTTTAGTATGTACATCATTAAAGTTCAATATTTGGTTATATTTTCATTTGTTTTTTTGAGGTAAATTTTACATTCAACAAAGTGCATACACCTTACATGTACCATTCAATTGACAAATGGATACACTTGTGTAACACAAATCCTTATCAAAATACAGAATATTCCCTTCAACCCAGCAAGTTCCTTCATGATTCTTATTCCTTCCCCACAACTTCAGAGGCAACTACTGTTCTGATTCTTTTTCGCACCATAATTAGTTTTGCCTGTTTTAGCACTTCATATAAATGGAATCGCACATGTACTCTTACATAATCTTTTACTCAGCACAATGTGTTAAAGATTCACCCACACTCTTAGGTGTTTCAGAATTAGTTCTTTATTGTGTCGGTGAGTATTCTATTGTATGAATATACCTCAGTTTGTTGAGCAATCAGAGCTGCCATGGATGTTTTGTATAAGTCTCTTTGTGGTAATGCTCTCATAGCTCTTGGCTACATACCTAGGAGTGGAATTTCTAGGCCAGAGGGTACGTGCATGTTTAGTTTTACTAGAAACTGTCAGACCTTTTCCCAAAGTGATCGTATCATCGACCACTGTGTATGAGAGTTTAGGTTGTTTTGTGTCCTCCAAACATTTAATGCCGTCAGTCTGTTTTAAATTTTAGCCACTCATGTGGGTAGCAGTATCTCATTGCTGCGTTAATTTGTAACTCTCTGATGAATAATGATATTGAGCAGCTTTAAACAACTCTTCCTTTGTGAAATGTCTGTTCAAGTAAATCCACATTGAGGTGTTTTTTTTAATTCTTGAGGTATGGGAGTTCTTTACATATTCTAGATACTAATTTCTTGTCAGATATATGTTTGTGAAATATTATATATCAGTTTGTGGATTTCTTCTGTATTTCATGAACATTGTCTTTTTATAAGCAAGAGATTTACATTTTGGTATAATCTAGTTATTCAATTTTGAAATGGTAATTGCTCCTTTTATCCTAAGAAGCTGTTGCTTAGCCTAAGTTGTGAAGATTCCCTCCCTTTTTCTTCCAGAAGATTTATGTTTTCATTTTTACATTTAGGCCTGTGATCCCTCTTAAATTATCATGGGAAGTAGGGGGTCATGGTTCATAGTTTTTCCATTTGAGTACCCAGTTCTAGTACCTAATCTATTTATAAATGTATTATGTACATTTTTGTAAGATCCCTCAAATGTTTTTTGGAACAAGCAATAAATGAATTCTGCCTAACGGCCAGAGGATGGCCTCATGAGTCCCCTTGAGTGCGGTGATGAGTAATATTCCCTCAGCATAGCCATGTCCAAATGTGACCCCCTCCCTCCCAGTAAAAAGTGCTCTGTGTTCCCTTTCGCCTTGGGGCCTTGTTAGTCACATCGCTGCCTCTCAGAAGTGGGGAGAGGCTGCTGTGTACTCACTTGCCTGTGATGGTTAGCTTGTTCCTACCCGGTGTTTGGGGATGGAGATGAGGCAGGAAGAGGCGTAGGATTGCCTGTGGGGTCTTAAATTAAATATCTTTAAAGCAGGGAAAACTAGAGGAACAGGAAACAGAATAGTGGTTGCCAGGAGCTCAGGGTGAGGGAGAAGTTGATTCCCAAGGGGCCGGAGGGCACTTGGGGGATGATGACACTGTTGTATATCTTTGTTATGGTAGCTACACAACTGGATGTGATGTTTAAATTGCGTAGAGCTCTCCCCTAAGAGGGTATGTTTTATTGTGGAAGTTATACTCCTGTAAACCTGACTTTAAAAAATACTCTTTAAAATAAAGTCTTAATTAAAATTGGTCTCTTCTCTCCTTTCACGCTTCCTTCTCCAGTTCACCTCTTCTCTCTAGCCTCTTCCTGACGGTGGGCTGAAAGTGTGTTCAGCTCCCCTGTTAATTGTCATACTGGATTCTTTGTTCCTCATCTCCCAACTCGGCTGCATATTTAATTTCCCTCTTTTGAATTGACACTCTGTTGAGCTGGGCTCAGCTGCGCTTAACAAACAAAATGTATGGCTGTTTCACTTGCTCTTTTTGTGCCAGTAGATGTCTGATCAGGGCAACGCATTAATTATACCGAGTGAGATAAGAGAAAAGCTGATCCAGGGGCCTTGTGGCAGTGGTTGAACAGAAATCCTTTAAAATCCTCTAGATTGTTCTTTCTACTATGAGCAAAGGACTTGGAACAGTGTTTATGCTGAAAAACCAGCATAACCCAAGGTCACAGTGGAACTCGTTATAGCTACTTGTCGTTGCTCCTTTAAAACAAGACACAGTTATTTTGAGGTATATGCTGATTATCTATCCTGAACTTTCCTGGTCGGTCTGAATTTCAAGTAGTTCATGCCGAGTCTCTCTAGGACACTCATATTCTGTAGAACAGACAACGTGTCTTGATTTTGGCTCATAAAATACAGTTGTCAGACTCAGAAGTTAGATACATTCATTCATTCTTTACTTTTCCTTTCTGTAAGTATTTAATGAGCACCTGCTGCTGAGTGCCAGGCTTTCAGGTAGGCTCTGGAGAAACAGATCGGTAAAATCATGCTTGAGAAGCTAGTGCTGTGCAGTCTGGAGGATGGACAGGCTAACAAATGCGTTCAGTTTCTCCAGAGAGCAACTCCTACAGGAAAAGACAGAGACGAGGCAGTTCATGTGCGATATAGCTTATTGAGACAAATTTTAACCTCTATTGTATATATCTTAATTGCATACGTTATATAGGCTTGTTTTCCAACACCAGTGTTAGCATGATTTCACTAGACAGCTGTCTATAAAAAATGTGTCCGCATGTATAATAATACGCATACTTATATATTTTTCATAGGCGAGCTTGTGCTCTATGCCCAGTGTTTTCGCTGGTGTGACTTTTGGTTAGAAATCTTCCTCTGACTGGCTCGACTACATTGCAGTTACTTCCAATAACAGCCGGTGTGTCCTGTGTTCTGCCATGTAATTTGCACACACTCTTTCTTTTGCTCCTTCAACGCAGTGGAGGACACATCACTCTCCCCATTTCATAGGCTGGATGGAAGTGGGTGCTAGAGAGGGTGAGTGGCCCCCGGGTGCGCCCGGCCGACAGGAGGTGGAGGGAGATGTGATCTGCCTCGCCTGACTGGGGCACAGTGTGCTCTCCTCCAAGCACACAGCCCTCCATTGTTGGAGCGCTTTTAACTGCCTATCGGGCGCGCATTTACTCAGATTTCTGTGGCTACCGGAAAGGAGGGTGAGAAAGGGGAAGTCACTCGGATGCAGCTCTG